AGTGTGGACATTCCCGGGCCTCAGTTTCTTCCTGGGTAAACCGGCTCGAAAATACTGCAAATCTCAGGACGGTCCAATTTCCATTTCCCAACACCCCAGCAGAGCAGTTTTGAGAGCTCCAAAACTCCAGCTTCTGGCAATAAGTTTAGAAATTTTCAGCAACTGTCCAAGGTGATTCTGATCTCCAATTTGAAAAACATTACAGGAAGACACCATCTGGTTCTATCCAGCACTAAGTCTCTCAAATACTATCCCAAGAAAAATAAGTGAGCAAAGTTTATAGAAGAGAAAACCAATATTTAAGTCTTGGGGTGCCAGGAAACACATTAAAACCATGAGGGGTTCTCCTAGACCCACTGCAATTTGACAATTTAGAAGTGAAGGGTGGGCTACTTTGATGTGGAAAAGCATCCGCAGAGGAGAACCTAAACACCACTCATTTCTAAACAAATAGCCAACATAGTTTATAAACAAAGCCTTGAATGTTTTTCTGGAGCGGGGCCTGAATTTTTGAATGTTTTTCTGGAGCGGGGCCTGAATTTATAACCTCCTAACCTCCAAGCAGGAAACGCAGCTCCTCCACTCACCAGAAAGCTGGTCAGAAACAGTTCTACCTGTCTGTACTTTGGATGGAATGGTAAATTTGAAAGGAAAATCAGGTGATGTGATACAGCATAGAGGTAGGCAGACCTGGGTTCAAATTCAAGTCTGTTCCATGCTCACGCAGATCTTGGGCAAGAAACTAACCTCTCTGAGCCTCATCAGTAATATGGGATAATAATTTCTGCATCTCTCGATTATTATGAGTTTTAAAATGACATACAGCAAATGCCCAGGCACAGGGTTGGAATACATTAATGTCCATTTCCCTCTTTTCTTCCAGAACCCCTTGTCTAAGGTATTTACTAGACAATAAATAACCAGAAAAACTGTTACCCCTTGTATTAAATCTAATCATGCCAGGATCCCTCAGGCCAAGATAGATACTGAAAAAGACTTTCTGTATTTATGCATGTGTACCATGTACATTCTCATGACACATACATGCTTATAACAAAATGTATAATCAAAAGGTGTCCACGGCCAATTCCACCCAATGAAACTAGATTAAATCACATAACATTGCTGATGTTTGACCATTTTATATCTACAACGACAGCAATTTCATATAGTTGCAAATACCAAATGTAGAGCAAGGATTTCCTATCTGCCCACCCCAGACTTCCTGGGATTATTAAAAATCAAAACCTTGGCATTTTCATCCCAGTTCTGCCATTTATTGGCTGTGTGACTTTGAGAAAATCATTTAGCAACCTTGGACCGGGGTTTCCTGATTTATACAACAAGCATGGTATCTACCTTGGTATCTTTTTCTGTAATTTGATGACAATGAAGAGGCACAGGTAGGTAGTTTAGTGCATCCAACATGCAGAGTTGGTGGGAATGTTTTTAACTTTGCTATAAAAGTTTTCTCAGTTGTCCCTTCTGCATCCATCCTGCCCTCTTACTTTGAAGCACAGATGACAGCGACCTTGAGGATAACAACATAAAGCTGTGTAAACTTCTTCACAGGGTTCTTAAAATGCACTTCTAATTTGGCACACCCTCCCACAGCAGTACTGGATTTCTCCTTAAACAAAAATGGTCACGGGTGTCAAAGCGATGTGAGTGAGTGTCCACTGAACTGTGTCTAAATGATTTTCCTTGTGAGCAGAGCCAGCCTGGAATGAGCCCCTGTGAGGGAGAAGAGGGAGCATGCTTCCCAGGCAGAGGAGGCATTGTTGAAACTAATGAGTTCTGCACCACTTGGTCCACAATCACAGCAGAGCCTGATTTTCCTAGACAAAGAGCAATAACCAAATGGGGGTGCTCTTCAGCAAGCTTCTCTGAGCTGATCGCTGTTGACTCATGAGGTGGTGTAGTCTCCCTACCCTTCCATGTCCTACGAATGGTAAGAGGAAAACATTTATCGACTTTGGTCAATATTAGGCCAGGTTTGTCATGGCTATAATGGATTTTTATCATCTAAACTCACTAAAAATGCCTAGAAATTACTCCAGCTCAAAAATTAAAATGTTTCAGTGCCCTATTATATTCCTTTTATCCATCTACCATAATTTTATCTCCCCCCTACACACCCCCACCATTTTGGGGGGTGGGGGTGGTTTGCCTTATTTTCAGAGAAATAATAGTCATGATCCTTCAAGCATGCAGGCCAACACTATTCTTAGAAGGGAGCTGCAGGAGGTTTATTATGCCATGAAACAGGGAGCCAGAACAAAGGACTACTGAATCACTCACCTTATCTTCATCTAAGAAACCCGAGAATTACAGGGTTCCTCTGTTCCTCTCAAACTCAAGAGCTACACTTGCCAAGACTAGGTTTTAGGGCTGCGTCTGTACTACAAAACTGTAAGCAGATAGGTGCCCACAATGCTTTCTACCACAAATATAGACTCTTAATCTAAAATGCTCAAAAACAATGTTCAGCATTTTTTTTTCTAACCAAAGTTTAAGCACTTGTTTCTGAATCTAGAAATCTGATTGCTCAGCACTAAATAAACTGTTCTCCTTAAGAGAACCATACATAGGAAGCATCTTTACCCTGAAAAACCTGAAAAGCATTAGAATTATTTCAGAACTCACAGTTCTTACTTAGTTCACTGAGGGCAGGGACCTAGATTTATTTCTCTTGCCTTGTGTGTAATTAGTTTTCAATAAATATGTGTGGACTAAATGAAGAAGTTAAGTAGAAAACATTTAATTAAGATTTTTCACAGTATATTTTGGCACCTTCACATGAAGCACCTTTATCATATTCTATTTTTATAATTCCATCTTTATACTTCTTTAGAAAACTATTCTAAAAATAAATTTAACTGCTGGTGATGATGTGGGAAGATGTATCAAACAGAAGCAGTACCTTCAACTGCTTTTATGAAGAATCCGGTGCAGCTATAAATCCTGGCTCTACCCATCAGCCTTCACTCCCTTTGTCTCATTCCCACCGCCTCTGCCCAGCCTCCCCCCAAGCACTCCCAATCTCATTATCCATGATCTGCTAAACTGCAGTGTACCTCCTGAAGCCAGCAGAAACACATGTCACTGAGAATTAGGGAATTGGAGCCCGTTACAAGCCACCAAATAGGGTCACACAGTATCTGAACCTGAAAATGAGGAGTTTTTCTATTTTTTTTTAACTGTGAGAAAAGGGGGGGAGGACTTAATGAAACATTTTTAAGCATTTGATCTAGATAGAGTGCACAATGTACAGGCATTTATAATGAATGGGATGGGAGAGGTAACGTGTTATTTGCTAATCATCTGAAAAGTAATATTGACTTCAATTGCTGATGGTGGAAGGATATTCTCTGAAAACTTCTCCCATGAATAGCCTTGAAGGCAAATTACTTAAAAACAGGACACAGCGCTATTACTTCATCTGAGGTATTTTTATGCCACACTTACCCACGGAAGAGAACTCCATTTTACACTCATTCTAACCAATGTTTATTTAATATAAGCCACTAGGTATATCAATCCTACTGCCAAATACTGTCGCAACCTGAGAAAAATGAGCACTGAGAAGCTACAGCTCCTGCATACTCCTTAAGATGTGTACCCTTGCCAAATGCTAGCCTGTGTGTAAACAAACGGGAGTTTTAAAAAGGGGGATGGAGCTGTCAAGACTCACAAGTTTAAGAAAAGAAAAATGACTCTCTTCACAGAAGTCTTGAGAAATCTGACTGGCTTGCTCAAGGCTTTTTGAAACATTCCCTGCAGATCATTTCTAAGATTAACCCCAGAAACGGCCAAAACGCCAGAGCTACTGGAAAAACAATCACCTCTCGGGAGACAGTCTTTGTCTCTTCTCACTGGCGTTTTCTTTGGTCCGTTTTGGAGCGCAGCTCGTTCTCACGGACAGGCCAGGAGGAGACACAGGTGCTGCGGGTGGCACACGCCCTGCTCTCCACCTCGCGGACAGGAGGCTCAGGGCTGTCCCGTCAGACAAGCACCTGGTATTTTTTTTTTGAAATGCCTAACCAGGAAGTAACTATATTTTATTCGTCTCCACTTTCCTGGGCTAGAGGGAGGGGAGAAAAGTCTCAATTACTGCCCTCATTAGCAATTTCTCACCATTTTCTTCCGTCTATGATCACAGTGGTCATGTCGGCACGCGGGAGGGTGTGGGGGTGTCTTAGTTTTCCATTGAGTTGGTGATTGTTCTAACGCTGAATTCCTAGGGTCCGAATGAGATCATAAACTGATTCCACGATACAAACAACAAAGAAGAGGTCCTGAGGGGAGGGGGACAGGGCGGCACAGACGCTCCCCGGGGATCAGGACTTTGGGGCGCGCAGGGTAGCGTCTCGGACTCGCGGCCCCGTCGCCATGGGAACCCCGCGCAGGCGCAGAGCGTGGCCGCCGCGCGGTCCGACCTTCCTCGGCGGTCCCGCGCCGCTCGGATGCCCCTAGTTGAGTCCAGGAAAAGGCAACGGAGCAAATCCTCCCCGCACGGAGAGCACCCGGTCTGCTCCGACAGGGTCCTGCGAGAGGTCAGCGAGCTCAGGAAGGACCGTGAGACTCCCTCCGACTTCCCCGCACCGCGCTCGCCTTGCTGGGAAACGCGAGCCTGCTCTCTCCGCGGGTCCCCGCGATCCCGCGTGGGGTGGCGGGGGGATGAAGCATCCAGCAAGTACCAGTATGCGTTACCTTCCACCCGGCGAGACCCCACCCACCACCGCAAGAGACCCGAGAATTAAGTTCTTGCGTGCGCTCACACACCCACGTCCTTCTGAAAGATGGGACCCCAAGACCAGCCGGGGTCCAGGTCTCCGCACAGAGCCTTGCGGGGTCCCCACGCACAACGCACACACAGTCCTAAAGAGCGTGTCCCGGCCCGGACTGCAGAGAGGAGCTCGGCCACCTGCTCCCTTGCACACCTGGGCTGGCGGAACCAGTCCCCTCTTTTCTTTCTCGTTTCCCCCAAAAGCACTGACCTGCTCAACTTTGAGGGTTCGGCAGAGGAAGGATTCTTCGGGGTCCTCGGCACAGGAGCCACCTCCAAAGTGCTGGGGTGATGAGTTACCGACTCCTGTGGCTCCAACTCCAAAACCCTGTCAAGGGTCTGGAAAGCCCCCCAAAAGGGCACTTGGTCCCCACCAGTCAGCAAACCCCTCCTCCCCAGCGAGCCGGGCTGGGAAGAGCGGGGCGCGGGGCCACACAACCTGCTTTCTCATTCAAATCCTCACGCTCACTCTGCAGCCCCCTCCCTCCGCCCGCAGCTCCCGCGGAAATCAGGAACTGGAGCTCGGGGGAGTGGACCGGAGCTCCCGCCGCCTCCAAGGACTCCAACCTGCTGGGTGGAGGGGCCGAGGGCAGGACCTTGACCCCTGGGCCGGCACCCCCTGGCGGCGTTCCCCGGCAGGCAAGAGCCAGCAGTACTGGGAATGAAGTCTTTTCCTCTAAAGTTTCAAAGGCTCCCAAATCCAGGACACCCCCTTGGTATTCAGTTCAGGGATGTGTTCGGGGGTGGCAGGGTAAAGGAGTTTGGCGAAACGACACCGGAGGTCAGGGTGCAGGGACTGGAAGCTGCAGTTTGCACCCAAGTAAACCAATGTCAGGACCACATCTTAAAGAGAATCCCGAACCGCCTATCTTTCCGCCTCTCCTGTTTTCTTCCATAGCATCGTTTATGGCGTTACAACCAAGGAGATCTGCTTTGAGTCAAGTGCAGCGAAGACTGAGGAAGACTGAGGAAGAGAGTACAGGGTACGTTTTATTTGTACCTCTGCTTCCGAATGCTTCCCTTAAGCGTTAACAGGCCAGTTATGGCTGGCGGACTCAAACGGCCAGTCTGCGGTGAGTTAGAGCGTGGCCCGGCGGAGGGAAGCGTGCACACAGTAGGCGCTCAAAGGGTGATGAAACCAGGAAGTGCACTGAGCGCACCAGCGCGGCGAGTGAGCGGGTTGGTGCGGCTGCTGGCAGGCTGACAGCCGCTGGCCTCGGCGGCCGCGGTGTGATCCGGCGTCGGCGTTCCAGGATTTGCATTTATCAGCCTTCATTCAACCTGCCCTATTGTTAGTTGAAAGCCTGCCTGGGAGGGACTTGGAGACACTGCTCCGCACTCACCTTCGGTTCAAAATTCTCCACCAATAAGAAGGTCCTAGAAAAGCTGGCAGGATGGGGTTGGCAGGGGTTTTCTGGACTTTGTGACAACATAAGCTAAAGTCATTTTCTGTTTCATGCGTGAATTTGCTCAGGAAGTTTCAAATGAGTCCAACGCCTGAAGAGCCGGGCCTGGCTGCCCGTCCACTTTGACGGACACTTAGTGGGGGGCTGGGGGGTAGCACCGTGACCTCTTAGCGACAGATCTAGGGTTTCACCTTTTCATCCCACTTAGCCGATACCATAGAAACAACCCATTTGTATTATTCAATTCAACAGAGGCAATTACAATGTCACAGCAAAGCACCATGGGCAAGAAGAAACTTTATCCTGAAAGCAATCCTGGATTCTCAGAAAAGAAAGGAAAAGCCATCAGAATAGTCCCTTGAATTTCTTCCTGGCCGGGTAGGGTACCAGGAAGAAATCAGTTTGGAAAAAGACATAAAAGGTCTTTGGGTTCCATAGAAAGAAACCTCCCCAAATTTACTTTAAAAAAAAAAAATACCCACACAAATTCCCAATTTATCAGAAATTAAACAATCTTTCTTCCCCCAAATTGTTTTTTTTGCTTTTTTTTTTTTGAGATTTGTTTTGCTTGCAATCTCCATGGTAAATAGGAAGGCAAAAAAGGGAAGGCAGAGAGAAAGATACCAAGACAACCCTTCACACAACTAGGTGTCTTTCTCATATCTGAAAAACCAGCCACAGATGCACGTGTTGAAATAAACTCAGACAAAGTTCATACCAAGAGCACTTGTTTGAAATGCATTCTGTATTTTGACAGTTTTAATGCCCATAATTGTGTGAACTTTAAAATTGTTTAATTATGCAATATTTTAAACCTATAGAAAACAAGACAAACATCCATGTAATACTCTTGCTCCCCCTACCCCTTTTTTAAATAAAATATCACAACTACTGCTAAAACCACATCTCCTCTTCCTCCCCCAAAGCGACCAATCTGAAGTTGGTGTTGTTAGCATAAAGAGTGTGAGTCATACTAAAGCTTGGTCTTCCGTGTTTAGGACATACACCTTTGTGTATATGACCATCAATCTTTTTTTTTAAAGTCTTTATTGTTGAAGGTATTACATGGTCCTCCTTTTCCCTTCATTAATCCCTTCCAGTCCGCTCCCATCCCCCCCTCTCCATAAACCTTTTAATGTAACTTTTCTCTCTGAGTCCTCTTTTCATACCATTAACCAGAGAAAATTTAACTAAAACTAAGAAAATGTTGTTACATTGATAAGTTTTTGGAGCAGGACAGAACTACGTTTCCCTGCTGTGACAATCAGGGGAAATAATAACAAAGGGATTAGACAGTGGTTAGTAAACAGCCTCTGTAGGTTGCCCAAGCCCTCCCATGGTTACCAAAAAGTCAATAGAAGAAGAAAACACACAATACCCCTTTACTTCACTGGCTACGGGAAGAATTGGGGAGAATGGGATCTAGGTTACCACATCTTTGAGCTATATGTCCTCTATGGTAATAAAGTACCTTTTTTGAATGGCCTCTTGGTCCTGTAAGTCATAATCTTTTAGTAAGGATTTTCCAAGTATAAAGGATTCCTACTAGTAGCTCAATTCAAGGCTGAAACCAGCCCTGCTGAAAAGTCTGGAGTTGAATCCTCCTAGCTTCCCCATTCAGGGGACCTACATCCGTGCAGTGAGTTACATAGAGCCCCTGACCGCGGTCCTTTGACTTAACCTCCTCCCAGCAGTAAAAGGGCTGTGAAAGCACCGATTTTTCTTACATCCCATTGACTGGTGGTGAAAGACATCCTTCCCAACCCCCACCCTCCTCTAGCTTCCAGAGCGATGACTCTCATTAATTATACTGGCACAGCCCTGCCTGGCCTCCTTGCTAAAGAGCTGCCAGATTTCTACCTATCACCTCTGCCTTGACACAGAGTGTGCGCTGACACCAGGATCACAGAAAATCCTGTAAAAGCTGCCTGATACACGGGAAGATGATGGATGTACCCTGTGGTTGGGCTCGCTGTGCTGCATATCATCAGGGGTTTGTTAGAAAACTCTACTGGGAATCTGTGTTGGAAGCAGATTTTTCTAACTGTACAAAAATGGTGCTTTCAATTGCAAAAAAAAAAAAAAAAATTGCCATATTCAAGATACTCAGATTTAACCAGCAGTAATCTTTGAGTCATATCCATGAGTGAAGGAGATGAATATTATCTCTATTTCAGTCAATGCCTCAAGAAGTCAAGAGAATAATCAGAGCTTAACGATTATCAAGGAGGAGGCATCCCTCTTTCAACACATTTTGTTGAGTACTTGCCATGTACCAGGCACTGCTCTAGATTATAAGTCTTAGCCAGAGTAGATAGTACTGGAGAACAAAGCAGTAGCTGTCTTTAAAGCCTTACTCCCCATATTGTTCAAGACTTTTTGGATACAAATAAGAAAACCCCATTTCAAACTAGCTTGAGGGGGAAAGCCAGTGTACTCACTCTCGCCTTAAGACAGGGGGAAAGGAAGGCTTCAGGAATGACTGGATCCAGGAATTCAGAATCATTAATCTCTTGCATTCATTCTTACTTTTGCTTCTATTCTTTCTCTCACTGCTTTTCTCAATGTCTTGACCTTATTCTCTCCTATTACATGTGTGCTTCCTCTATAGCAGCGGTTCTCAACCTATGGGTCGCGACCCCTTTGGGGGTCGAACGACCCTTTCACAGGGGTCACCTACGACCATCGGAAAACACATATATAATTGCATATTGTTTTGTGATTAATCACTATACTTTAATTATGTTCAATTTGTAACAATGAAAATACATCCTGCATATCAGATATTTACATTATGATTCATAACAGTAGCAAAATTACAGTTATGAAGTAGCAACGAAAATAATTTTATGGTTGGGGGTCACCACAACATGAGGAACTGTATTAAAGGGTTGCGGCATTAGGAAGGTTGAGAACCACTGTTCTAGAGGCGTGCATTTCTTCCATAACCGAGACCATCGCACTGCAACAATGTGTTAATTTATGCATTTAAGTATTGCAGTGAATTCTCCACATTCCTGAATATATAAAAGATTGCCAAAATATTCATAATTTTTGAAACTCGTGACTAATACATAGTGCTTCATGATGATTCTACTTTTGTGTACATATGAAAATTTCTGTGAAGATCAGAAAACACAAAACAAAACAAGGGGCCACCCCCAACTGCCGCCCCCCCAGTCCTTCCTGATGGACTCAGGAAGTTTCTCTTCTTCTTAAAGAAAAAGAAATCGCCGTCATATACATATGAATCTGTACAAAGGTGTTTATGTCTTTCTTAGGTGGCCGATTCAGGAGGGGGTACTGTAGGGAACACCTGCTCTTTTTATCTGCCAGAATCCCTTCCTACCCTCCCATGGGGAACAAATCCTTCCTGTGTTATCTTCTAACTAAATAGGACCAATACATGTGAAGCTCTTCACAAAATGCCCAGTACAAACTGAGCTTCTAAAAATGTCAATTATTTTTAGTTATTGTTAATCTATTTAAAGGATTTACAGGCTAAAAAACTCTACACACTGAAATGTATTTTGCCTATGGAGGGAAAAAATTTAAGGTTAAACCCCTTACCAATAGACAATAACATTTTTACATGATCCATGTTTAACTGTACTATTCATACTTTTTTCTATAACAAGCCTACATAATTTCTCCTTTTATATGGCAATGCCAAATGTTACAGGCAAATGTACTTTTTCACCTTACAAATAAGGAAAAAATATGTAGATTAAATTGTCAAGATGAGGAATGAGTTTGGGCTAGGTATCAGAATTCTAAACTCGACTTTAAAACTTTGGCAAAATAATTCACCCTGTGAATGCTGGACAGAGATAAAATA